AAAATGCTACCAAAAAGTCAGCACACAGAAAGTCAAAAAGAAGGAAAGAAATCTCTGCGTCTCTTGCCAACACAAATATGCTTTTTCAAAATTGTGAGTTTGTTTCTATTCCATTGCTTTATGCTTTAAAAACAAAGGAACAGATTTCCATGAGGGTGGTGGAGGGAAGGAGGGAAGAAAGAGGCGCTGATCCCAAGGGCTCAATGGGAAGTAAATGCCTGGAAAAGAATGAGTGCAACTTATGTACAAATGTGCCTGATGTGATGGATGGATGGACTGTAATAAGAGTTGTAAGAGCCCCCAATAAAATGATCCTTTAATTAAACAAAAGAAACAAAAGGATTCAAAATGTTACACTTGTTCTAGGATAAATTATGTGTAAAGTATAAGGGCAAAAAAGGAATGAAATGTATTCTTTATGAGTGCAATATGAATTTTTACTTGTTTCTTAAAACATCAAGATAGATAGTAGTAATTAAATAATTTTCCAATCTCATAACCAATAAATGCTTATGTAAAACTAAAAGAAAGAAAAGGAACAAATTTCTAGATCAATGGTTGGTCAGCTATTGCCTATGGGCCCAACTGTAAACCACTTCCTATGTTGTACTGAAAACTGAAGGTGGATTATTACATAAAGAAGAGTTTAAAAAACTGGTTCTTTGGCTGATGAAAGAAAAACAGAGACTGGTAAATCCATACCAAAATTAAATGGTTATGTAACTACTTATATAATACTCCATTTTGCCTGTGTATCTGCTTTCTCTCTGTCTCAGGGCACTCTTGACCTAGATTCTGGAATTTTGTTGTTTTGGGTTCTCAGTAAATGTCTGTGACTGCAATAATAATACACACATATGCTGACAACTTATTTCTCCAAAAGGCTTTTTTTGAGCTTTATGGTTCAAAAGTGCATCTCTCAAAAGTTGTCCAGACCACAGGGCACTCAAACAATGTCAAAGACCACCTGATGCATCACAGTCTAACAGAATGGGCGAGCCTGCATTGCTGCGGGCAGCTTGACTGGCAGGACTGCGCACCACTGTGCAAACCGAGACCCTGCCACGTGTGCCTCGCGACACAGGAGTATTTGGTCTGAAAGGTCTCGCCTGTGAAAGTTTTACTCCAAACGTTACAGTTGAATTCCAGTTTACAGGAAATGCAGTCGCTGAGGAAAAATAACCACTCAGCTTAAAAATGTGAGAAATTCCACAAGGCAATTGATCTGGCACCTTCCAAAGGCGATGACATGGAAACTAAAGTGGTGGGTGAAGTATTCTAAAAATTTGAAGATGTGACTGTAGCTATAAAGAAATCAAATGCACGGCATGAATCATGACTTTGGATATTTAGTTATACGACTACATTTTGATGTAATTGAGATCAGGTGAGGAATTCCGGCCAAACTTGATATGATTCTTATTGAAAATGATCCATGGGGAACAATTTGAGTAAAGGACCATGGTGTTTTCAGGTCATTTCAAAGGGTTAAGTGTGTGTGTGTGTGTGTGTGTGTGTGTGTGTGTGTGTGTGTAAATAGGTAAACCAAATGTTGCAGTGTTTCTGGGTGGCATACATGGTAAAGTTCTGAACTACTCGGAAGGTTGTCAGTTCAAACCCACCTAAAGGCTATGTGGAAGTGAAGGCCGGATGATCTGCTTGTGTAAGGCCACAGCCGTGAGAGCCCCATGAGCAAGTTGCCATTAAGATTGAGACCAAAAGAGAGGTTAGTTGATCCAAACTGAGAGGAGATCCGTTCTTCCCTAATCCGCCTAAGCACCATCATTTTTCTCTTCTTTTGATAAGATTCAATCAGGCTTTCAATTGAACTGGAGGGCAAATTGCTTTTTACTTTCTAACATGAAACTTTATAAATTGCTAGGTGGACATGTGACAACTGGCAACTGTCACGTAACATTGATTTCCTCTACTAGAAATGTGAACACTGACCATTTTGTAGAGTCTGCAGATGATGACTCAGCCATGAAAGTGAAGAGCAAACACCGCGGGTGCTGGGTGCAGAGTAGCTGGCAGTGCTTGGTGCTTGGTGCAAAGACAGTAGTGATGTCCCCGCCTTGAAAGCCGGTGTCTTTGAACAGTTGAGTCACACATTCTGTGATGTAACGTACGGCACATGTCATTTTAGATTTCAGTGGACACATATCTAAACCAAACCAAACCAAACTCATTGCCATGCAGTCGGTGCTGACGCATAGGCCACATATCTAGCGAGATACTAATCTTACAAAGAGAGAGCAAGTCGAACTACCTCATGGGACATATAGAAGAAGCAGTGTTCAGATATGGAAGAAAACATAAGTTGTTACCATTTTCCTCAGTAGAATTATTGTTATAAACGAATGTCTTGGAATATGAAGTGCTTTGCATTTAATTGAACTGTTTCTCTGATCTTTACTAGCCGTCGATATTCTTTTGGATTACCTCCAGGTCAGAAGTTGATCTCCCTGGCCTCGTCAGTTCTTCTTTGTCTGAGCTCTGTGTTTATCTGAACTAAAGGATCTAGAAATAATTTTCTGGTACTATTTAATGGCCATAGGTATGATAATTGGTAACACTGTATTACTTCACTATTTTTAAATGATCAATTTATTGATAGAAACTTTAGATTCTTAGAAAATTAGTAAATATTTTCTGAAGTCATAGAAAAGTTAAAATTACATTTAGGAGGTATAAAGGTTAATTTTTTTCCCCAGAAAGAGATAGCTAATTTTCTAAGATGGGGTATTCTCAAAGTATAGTCAACCGTAATGACATGTATGGAGCAAACCTTCTGAACCTCCATTTGATGAGGGGACATGACTCAAAAGAAAGGAAATGGCTGCAAACATGCATTAGTATTGGGACTCTGAACACGCAAACTATGAATCTAAGAATACTGGATGTTGTTAATAGTGAAATGGAGCACTTGAAGATCAATATCCTGAGCATTAGCGAGCTGAAATGGACTGGTATTGCCAATTCTGAACCAGACAGCCACATTGTTTACTGTGTGGGGAATGACAAATTCAAGAGGAATGGTACTGCATTTGTCTCAAAATGGGTATTTTAGGATCTATCTTGAAGTGCAGTACTGTCTGTAATAGGATAAGATGTATCCACACTCAAAGAAATCCAGTCAACGCAATTATTATTATAATTTATGCACTAACCACTCAAGCTGCTAATGAAGAAATTGAAGAATTTACCAATTCTTTCAGTCTCAAGTTGATCAAACATGCTATCAAGATGCATCAATAATTAGTTGTGATTGGAATTCAAAAGCTGGAAACAAAGATGTAGGAATAGTAGTTGGAAAACTACTATTTTTATCAATTACTTTGTTGATAAAAATGAAGCTGGAGATCGCTTGGTAGAATTTTGCAAGATCAATGACTTCTTCATGGCAAATACCCTTTCTCTACAATAGAAAAGGTGACTATGTACATGGAGTTCTACACATGCACTATACAGAAATCAAATTGACTTTATCTGTGGGAAGCAGATGGAGAAGCCCAATGTCAGCAGCTCAAACCAGGGCTTGACTGTGGAATAGACCATCAGGTGCTCATCTGAAAGTTCAAGGTGAAGCTGAGGAAAATTAAAGTAATTCCAAGAGAGTCAACATACAACTCTGAGTCTTTCCCACCTGAATTTCAAAAACATTTCAAGAACAGATTTGATGTACTGAACACTCAGGACAGGAGACCTGGTGATGTAGGAGAGGACTTCAAGAACATCATTCATGAAGAAAGTAAAAGGTCATTAAAAATACAGGAAAAAACAAAATAATAATAATAATTTATAAATTATCAAGGGTTCGTGAGGGGGGAGTGGGGTGGGAGGGGGAAAAATGAAGAGCTGATACCAAGGGCTTAAGTGGAGAGCAAATGTTTTGAGAATGATGAAGGCAACGAATGTACAAATATGCTTGACACAATTGATGTATGTTTGGATTGTGATAAGAGTTGTATGAGCCCCTAATAAAATGATTTCTAAAAAATACAGGAAAAAAGGATTAAAATTGTCCAGGATTTTATCTTGCTTGGATCCACAGTCAATGCTCATGGAAGCAGCAACCAAGAGAACAAAGGATGAATTGCCTTGCGTAAAACTGCTGCACAAGACTTCTTTCGAGCATTGAAGAGCAAGGACATTACTTTGGGAACTAAGCTGAGTCTGACCCTACCTCTGATCATTGCTATTAAGCCATTTCTGACTCATAGGAACCCTGTCAGACAGGGTAGCGCTGCCCAGTGGGCGACCCAGACTGCCACCCTTCACAGGAATAAAAAGCCTCATCTTTCTTCTAAGGAACAAATGGTAGATTTGAACTACCGTCCGATGTGTAGCCACTGTTCTACTGGTGCCTGACCCAAGCCATGGTATTTTAAGTGGCCTCAAAGGCACGTGAAAGTTGGACATTGAATAAAGAAGATAAAGAAGAATCGATGCATTTGAATTGTGGTGCTGGAGAAGCCTATTGAAAAATCATGGACTCCTACTAGGACAGACAACTCTGTCTCGGAAGCAGTACAGCCAGAGTGCTCCTTAGAGGAAAAGATGTCGAGCCTTTGTCCTGTGTACTTGGGACATGTGGTCACGAGGCACCATCCCCTGGAGAAGACATCATTCTCAAGCAAGCAGAGGGCAACGAAGAAGAGGAAGGCCCCCAATGAAACGGACTGACCCAGGGGCTACCGCAATGGGCTGAAGCATGGGACAATGGTCCCCCTGGCACAGATGGGGCAGCGTTTAGTGTGGTCGTGCATAGAGTCGTTGTGGGTTCAAACTACGGACTCACAGCTCCTCACAACAACCTGTGGCCTGCGGGCCAGATGTTCCCCCTCCCCACCTAAGGCTTTGCTATTTTATTGGGTTTTGTCTGTTTGTCTTGTTTGTTTGCTTATTTGCTTGGGGGGATGTGCCTGACAGGTTGTGGAATTAAGATGACCAGCCTTTTAAAACGTGGTGGATACCTAGGTAGTACAAATGGTGAACTTACTTCGCTGCGAAACGGGAGGCTGGAGGATCAGGTCACCCAGAGCCACCTTGGAAGAGTGACCTGGAAACGGACTTCAGGAAAACCAGCCATTGAAAACCCCAGGGAGCTGATTCTAGCCTGCCCCTCCCCCAAGAAGAATTTATCTCAAAGGATGGCACTGCATCTGCAGCTTCGGGAGAAGGATGTATCTGACCAGAGCACACAGGAGCAGATGACG